ATAGATCGGGGTTAATATTTAATTATCTACAATTTGAGACATGTGGTATATACATGAGGGTTTCATTGTTTGGATTATTTCGCTCGACATACTACGTCTCTTGTTATAGATTTTTAAGTATTAATTCCATCTAGTTGTATGATCTTGTTATTTGGATGATTATTCTGATCGCTAGCTGCATGATCGACTTATTACTTGGTTTATTTTTTGGATTCTTTGATTATTATATACTATTGGTGGGTTTTATCTAGTTTTTAGTATCCAGCTGCATGCTTCTATTTATTATTACTGTTTTTGTCTTGGTCATTCGACTGTTCCTATTTTTCCCTTGTGGGATCTTACCGTGTGCCATGCTTGTTGAAGTACACATGTTTTCTCTGGTGTACATTAGACTTAGAGGAAGGACAGGTCTAGCTTGGAGACAAGTCAGAGCCAGAGTATTCTCAGCAGGAGTGCCTAGCGGAAGGAGCAGAAGAATAAACCGAAGCTTAGTTATTCCTTCCAGTTTATTTTTGTAGCACTTTCATTTCCTTTTGATCAGTGCATTTGTATATCTCTCCAGTATTCGGTTTGATAGTTTTGTAATAGGGGCATGTTTGACCCGAATATTATGTCTTGGATGATATTTACTTGTGATATGAATTAATTTGTTCTGTGTTTGTCTATTATATTCTTGCTAACTATAATCGGGGACCTGTGACTTCGCATTGTATTTAATTCTTGACGCTTAGCGTATTAGGTTGAAGAGAAATATTTATTTATTCTCCTTAATCTAATACATCGCGAGCTTGTTCATGTTTCGATTCCCAGGTATTTTGGGAAGCGGGGCACTAGCGGTGGGCAGCTATGTATTTGATACGTAGATTCGGATTACGCTGGAGATTTGGATAAACGCTGATTGATGACAGGGTATATGTTCACATTGACTCGAATGTCGGTGTGTTGGAGATGCACCTTATAGTCTACTATGGCTTTGTTGATGATGGAGGCAAAATATATGACGACTACGGAGGCTGTTAAGGAGGCGATTTAGCTTCGAGGACTTTTGGAGGATCTTGATGTTTTACAGTGATCCGTCACCATTTATTGTGATAGCATGAGTGTCATTTATTTGGCGAAGAATCATGTCCTTAATGCATCGACGTTCGTTATCACTTTATTCTAGATGTTCTTGAAGATGGGGATGTGGAGCTCGTGAAGGTCCACACAAAAGATAATCCAGCGGATATGCTCGCGAAGGTGGTCCCGAGCAACAAGTTTGATCATTGCAGAAACTTGTTGCAAATTCGTGCTTGTTGAGGTTGTTTGGGACTATTTGGATGAACTACGGGCGACTTGATCCCTTGATAGAGGGGGTACGTAGGTAACTACATTGGTGCATACGGATTTGGCGAGACGACACATTGGTGCTCATGTTGGCGTCGGCTCAGTTTTGGGAACACTTCGCTGATGTGAAAAATTGTTAGAAATGGCGAAGGAACGGCAAAGTAATCGTTGAGAAATGTGGAAAAACGTGCAAAATCAGCACTACAGGAAAACCCTCGGGTCGGTCGACCGATCGCATAAGACCGATCGATCGATCTTGTGCACATTACAGGGTTTGAAACCCCTGCTCTAGTTGGTCGACTGATGCACTCTTATCGGTCGACTGATGGAGGTAGACTAGTCGAACGATAGAGGAGCACTGGTCGACTGAAAGCAGATACGGGCTAAAGTTGGTTTCCTAGCCTGTTTTGGATTAGGTTTTGATATAAATAGAAACACGTCTTTCTAGGATTTTGTACCAGAGATTAAAAGAGAATTAGCATTGTTTTGAGCAGTTTTGTGAGGGAGATTATTGTGAGGGAGTGTGAGATCATTGGTTGGGTTATTTTGAAAGTTATTTGAGAGATTGTAACCCGTTGTTTCTCCTCCGTATAGTAAAATCTCCCCATCCTCTCCCCGTGGACGTAGGCAATTTGCCAAACCACGTAAATCTATGTGTTTTGCACTTGTCTTTGGTTCTTCTCTCATCGCTCACCGACTCGGTGGGTTTGCGAGCACGCTTCCGCACAGTGCGCAACACTAACATGCAACACTTTTACTAAAATGACCTTTATTTTTAGTGCATAAAGTTTCAAACAAATGCCTTGATTTATGTTTATAGTTACACAAAACTTTCCGCAATCCAATCTTACAATGTTGGTCTTTGCCTCCTTGAGCCCATTTCCGATGTTTCTTTACGTCCATTTCTTTACCTATATATTGTCTTTTTTAGCATAGCTGAATGTGCGTGTTTTGTTCTGCTATATTACACAACATAAAATAGCGAGTTGTTTAGTGTGTTTTTTTGACATTGCAATGTATCAGTCCTGCATACTTTTTGAGGTCTCCATATCTTATATGCGTATACTTTTATTATTGAAAAAACAGAATTAATCATGATTTACAAATCAAAACTTGGAAAGTAAATTTAATCCTAATTCCCATCACCAAATGCCTCGAGTACTAGTAAATTGTAATCAAGAAATTGCAAGTTAATTAACTCGGAAAGGTTGACGCATATTATATATATATATATATATACACACACTTACTCAATTTCAGAAACAAGCATCAGATTCTAAAATTTATCCCATATATTCATCCTAGAAATGAAAACTATTAGCATACACTAAGTAACAGTACCACACAATATAGATAACAGTGCCACACAATATAGATTTAGCACCATGTTTAGTTGCCGCAATAACAAACAGCCTTGAGCCTCAAATACCGATTGGTAAACGCACAAATATTGTTCAGGCATCAGACCAGGTAATGTCGTAGTCCCCCACTTGAGACTCCGGTATATCCAACGCCTTCCACACCGCTGGGGATGCATCTACTATATTATTGGGGCATGGCGGTTGGAAGTCATGATCAGCATCGCAGCCGTGCACAGAATCGCACTCATCCACCACTTTGGCTCTCACCGACTTACCATTAGCGTTGATGTTGATGTAGTTCAAGCATCGGCTTCCTCCATTGTACCAGCCAGTTGATAATGCAACCACCTTTTCACTGTCGCTGTGGTATTTGTTGTCGCACTCAGACGGGCCTCCTCCATCACCACCCTTGGCAAAGCTGTTGATGGTCATCGTCGCACGGGTGTTGCTCGTGATTGGAGGAGAGCAGCGGTACTGAGGGTACATCTTACCTGCTTCGCAGCAGTCAGAGTCATTCTCTGTGTTGCAGTGGCCGGTCTTCCCTCGCAAATAAATTGTAATCAAGAAATTGCAAGTTAATTAACTCGGAAAGCTTGGCGCATATTTATAATATATATATCATATACACAGTCAATTTCAGAAACAAGCATCAGATTGTAAAATTTATCCCATATATGCATCCTGGAAATGAAAACTACTAGCATACACTAAGTAACAGTACCGCACAATAAAGATAACAATGCCACACAATATAGATTTAGCACCATGTTTAGTTGCCGCAATAACAAACAGCCTTGAGCCTCAAATACCGATTGGTAAACGCACAAATATTGTTCAGGCATCAGACCAGGTAATGTCGTAGTCCCCCACTTGAGACTCCGGTATATCCAACGCCTTCCACACCGCTGGGGATGCATCTACTACATTATTGGGGCATGGCGGTTGGAAGTCATGATCAGCATCGCAGCCGTGCACAGAATCGCACTCATCCACCACTTTGGCTCTCACCGACTTACCATTAGCGTTGATGTTGATGTAGTTCAAGCATCGGCTTCCTCCATTGTACCAGCCAGTTGATAATGCAACCACCTTTTCACTGTCGCTGTGGTATTTGTTGTCGCACTCAGACGGGCCTCCTCCATCACCACCCTTGGCAAAGCTGTTGATGGTCATTGTCGCACGGGTGTTGCTCGTGATTGGAGGAGAGCAGCGGTACTGAGGGTACATCTTACCTGCTTCGCAGCAGTCAGAGTCATTCTCTGTGTTGCAGTGGCCGGTCTTCCCTCGCAAATGCCCACTGGCATGGCAGGATCCGACCATGAATCGATGCGAGGCTACGAGACTTAGGCTTGAGAGCGCTGCGAGCAGAGCAAAAGCCATTATTGCTAATTGAGGAAATCTAGCAGTTGCCATCTTGCTACAGGTAAATGTTTCTAAAGTTCGTTGTGGTCTTTGCAATTTGAGCGCGTAGGGTTTTATAGCGTTGGAATAACTGGAGGGGTAACGTTCAGAATGATGGCGTACGTTAGGCTTCTTGGCTAGCAAAGTTAACCACACGGCCATTTATCCACTTAGTTTGTTGTTTATCATCAGACTGCTTGCTTTGACCCTTCCCTCACTCATTATAGGCTAGATCACACTATAGCATTTTGCCGTAAACTTCCAAAATCGCACTAAATCCCCAGTAACTTTTCTGTTTTACAAAAACCCCCGATAAGTTTCTATATTTTGCAGGTAACTCCCATAAATTAAGACGAAAAACAACACAAAAAGGCATTTTGAAACTTACTTGGGGTTTAGTGCAATTTAACCAAAAGATATTGGACCTTTTCTGCAAAAGTTATTGAGGGTTTAGTGCGATTTTGAAAACTCATAAGGATTTATAGCAAAACAATGAAAGTTCATGGCCGTTTTGTGTAATTTACCCATCTCATTATTTATTTTAGAATTCCAGATGAATTTGCCAAACAACCAACACTAGCGAACAATCATGCATTTGAAGAGATTAATGAGTATGAATTATGTCATACACAACGATGTGTGACACACTATCAATCAAGTTGTTACATACAATCAATCTGGAACGATATAATTATGTGTTTAACTTTTGAAAATCCGCTTCCATATTTAATTTTTTTAATTATGCACTTAAATAATTTAGTACTATAAATATTTTATAAATTTTTATTATGCTATCATTAACAATTATAGTACTATTATGAATATTAAATAATTTTTTTGAAAGTTTAGTTTTCAATAAATACCTATTATAGATTATTTAGTATCATGTAATAATCTTTGAGAAAATAATCAAAAAATAATATTAAATTATTTATTCAATTTATGTAATAATATAATACTAAATAAATTGTGTAATTCATAATTTATGTGATATTATTAAAATAATTACACTATTTATGTGATTAAATATTTATTCTATTTATTTTATTGATCATTGAATTATAGTATAATTATTAATAAAATTTAGTAATATATTATAAATAGTGTATATGAAAAAGGAGGACATTGAAGCCACTCCGGTGAGATTCAAAGCTATGTTGGTAGCGAAGGGCTATGCACAGGAAGAAGGCATTGATTACAATGAGGTCTTTTCTTCGGTGGTGAAATACTCTTCAATTCGGATCTTGCTAGATTTGATGACACAATATGGTTTGGAATTGGATCAATTGGATGTACAAACGACATTTCTTCATGGTGATCTTGATGAGGAATTCTATATGACTCAGCTATTGGGGTTTCGAGCTGCAGAGAAGCAGAAATTAGTTTGTAGGTTGAAGAAATCACTATACGGATTGAAGCAATCTTCACGACAGTAGTGTAGGCGATTTGATGGATTCATGTTCGGTTATTCGTACATTAGGAGCCAGTTTGATCCTTGCGTGTATTATCGCAAGTTGCGAGGAGGTGCGTACATTTACTTATTGCTTTATGTTGATGACATGTTGGTCACTTCTATTTTCAGATCCTTGATAGATGAGTTGAAGGTACAATTTTCGAAAGAGTTCTAGTTCAAGGATTTGTGTGAAGGGAAGCTCATTTTGGGGATGGAGATCGGTAGAGACAGAGATAGAGGTAGAATTTGTTTAACACAAGTGGCTTATTTGAAGAAAGTGCTACAGCAGTTTAATATGAGTATGGAGACGAAGCCAGTTAGTGTACTATTGGGAGCCCATTTGAAGCTTTCAGCTGACCTTTCACCGAAGACAGTTGAAGATAGAGAGCTGATGTCGAAGACTCCATATGCGAGCGCAGTTGGGAGCTTGATGTACGCCATGGTTTGTACGAGGTCGGTTTTGTCACAGGTAGTGAGCATGGTTTTGAGATACATGCATGACCCAGGTCCAGGTCATTAGGATGTCGTGAGATGGATTTTGAGGTACATTCAAGGTACTCTCAACGTTGGTTTGGTTTTTGAGTGGGACACTAGCAGTGGGTAGCTATGTATTGGATACGTAGATTCAGATTACGCTGGAGATTTGGATAAACACCGGTCAACGATAGGGTATGTGTTCACTTTGACTCGAGCGCCGGTGTGTTGGAGATGCACCTTACTGTCTACTGTGGCTTTGTCGACGATGGAGGGAAAGTATATGGCGATTATGGAGGTTGATAAGGAGGTGATTTGCCTTCAAGGACTTTTGGAGGATCTTGGTGTTTCGCAGCGATCTGTCACTATTTATTGTGATAGCATGAGTGCTATTTATTTGGTGAAGAATCATGTCTTTCATGTGTCGATGTTCGTTATCACTTCATTCGAGATGTTTTTGAAGATGGGGATGTGGAGCTCGTGAAGGTCCACACAAAAGATAATCCAACGGATATGCTTACGAAGGTGATCCCGAGTAACAAGTTTGATCATTGTAGAAACTTGTTACAAATTCGTGCTTGTTGAGGTCATTTGCGACCATTTGGATGAACTACAGGCGGCTTGATCCCTTGGGAGAGGGGGTACATAGGAAACCACATTGGTAAAGCTGGATTTGGAAAGATGACGCATTGGTGCTCATGTTGGTGTCGGTTCAGTTCCGGGAACACTTCGCCGAAGTGGAGAATTGTTAAAAACAGTGAAGGAACGGCAAAGGAATCATTGAGAAATGTGGGGAAACATGCAAAATCAGCACTACAAGAAAGCCCTCGGGTCGATCGACCGATCGCAAAAGACTGGTCAACCGATCTTATGCACATTAAAGGGTTTGAAAAATCTGCTCTGGTCGGTCGACCGATACACTCTTATTGGTCGACTGATGGAGGTAGACGGTCGACCGATAGAGGAGCACCGGTCGACCGATAGAGGATCACCAGTCGACCGAAAGCGGATACGAGCTGAAGTTGGTTTCCTAGTCTGTTTTGGATTAGGTTTTGATATAAATAGAAACACGTCTTTCTAGGATTTTGTACCAAAGATTAACAAAGAATCATCATTGTTTTGAGTAGTTTTGTGAGGGAGATTATTGTGAGGTAGTGTGAAATTATTGGTTGGGTTACTTTGAGAGTTATTTGAATCAATCCACCAAAAAAGACCCAGGAAAATTCAATTCCTAAAAATACTCATCAGCCAAGACTTCCTCCCTCCCTGTAACCTGGTGATCATCTCCTCATTTCCATTCAATTATATTTTTGCTCTCCCTCAAGCATCATCAAAGCCAATAAAAATTCAACCTAGGTATCTTAGTATTCTCGTGCTTTGCATCTACCAAGAAACCTTATTCATGGCTATATATGTATGAAATTTTTTTGAGAGGAGGCAATAAAGTACATTAGTCATCTTATAGATAATTATCGAGTTATCATACACACCTGAATCCCGATACGCATTCCGAGTCATCGTACTCAACCCTCAAGGTACCATCATCACCCAAGCCAGCATGGTCAACTCTTAAGTCACCGTACTCACCTTGAGGCACCTAGCTCAACCTTAGTCATGTTTTACCTTCTTTATGTCACTAAATAATTTTGTATATAGCTTTTTCTTTTTTTTCTATGAGCTCTTTTAGCAATTAGCTAATATTTTAATTCAAGTTTATGCATTTTTAAATTATTTTTTTGTCAGTTAATTGGGTTGAGATATTATTCAAATGCATCCTCCTCTAACTTTCACAGACATCCCAGGAATGTTCGTGTATGTAATTTCTTTTAATAAATTGTTTATACCTAGTTTGAAAACTTTAACTTCCGTTTTCTCTAAAATTGTAATTTTTTTTTATAATCAAGCAGTTTCAGAAGTGTCATATTAACCATCTAATTGGGAAGCTCTTGATAACGCTTTGGTCAGGAAGTAATTTCTTTTTTACGAATAGGTTATAATCTTTGAAAATTTTTAACTTTTTTCTAAAATTGTGATTTTTAGATAATTAAGCAATTTCAAAAGTCATATTAACCATCCAATTAGAAAAGTTCTAGGAGAATGCACTAAGATCTAGATAATGATTTGTTCAGGAAGTAAGCTTGAGTTCTTTATTTTAGTTAATACTTTAGCACCTAATTGTAGAGAAGAGAATATTTATTTGTTTCACTAAAAACTTCAAATAGAGGGA